CTATTCTACAAATATCTACATTGTTCCTCTACTCCTGGGCACTGCACTTATTGGAGTGGGTGGCCTAATGTCAGGTGGACCCCTTCCTGGGCTAATAGCATTTAACCTCTCTATCCCCTTCTCTTTAAGTCTAGACATGGCGAGTTCACCAAGTTTTCTTTTCTTTCTTTCTTTTTTTTTTTTTTGGGTCCGGTCATGGGGCCTGAACTCTGGGCCTGGGCGCTGTCCCTCAGCTCTTCAGCTTAAGGCTAGCGCTCTACCACTTGAGCCACAGCGCCACTTCTGACTTTTTTTTGCTTATGTGGTGCTGAGGAATCGAACCCAGGGCCTCATGCATGCAAGGCAAGTGCTCTACCACTGAGCCACTTTCCCAGCCCCTCACCAAGTTTTCTATTCACCACTCTGCACTTGGAGGCACCCAGAGCTGAGTGGTTAAGAGCTTGGACTCTGGAGCCAGTTCCTAACACCCAGCAAGTCTGTAACCTTGGGCAAGTGTCTCCACTCTGTGGAGTGGTCTGGAATGATAAATTGTATCTTCTGCATAAGGAGTGAGTACTGTAAGGATTAAATGAAGCAAATGTATCCAGTGTTTGGAACAGAGCCCAACACACAGTAAGCATTACACAACTGTTAGCTATTGTTACCGTCAGTCAGAGTCACATGGCCTTGGTTTGTTTGTGGAGGAGAGTCTATTTCCTAATGGATAGTTCAGAATTTGAGGCATCCTTACCCTCTGGGTTGCCACTGACACAGATAGAATAGGCTTCAGGGCCTGGCTGGGAGGAGATCTCTTGGACAGAATAGGCAGTGGTTGGCCTAGTTGGTCCCTTTAGCTTCTCTGAGAAGAATAAGGAGAACCACTCAGGTCTGGTTGAACTCATTCTTTCCCTTTTTTCTAAACAAGGTTCACTAGGCTTTATAATCCCCTCTTCTTACTTTTCAAAAAGAATATGTGAGTTGGGTTCACATCTGTATGTAATCTTAGCTATTTAGAAGGTTGAGGAGGATCATGGTTCTTAGCCAGCCCAGGGCAGAAAATTCTTTGAGACTCTGTCTTCATTTAACCAGCCCAAAACAATACTAGCCGCATGGCGTAGGTGATAGAACACTAACTGAGCAAGCAAGCCCAGTGAATACAAGGCCCTGAGTTCAAACCCTAGTACCACCAAAAAAAAAAAAAGGTTTGAGTTGTCATAATTGAATGAAGAGGTGTTTAATTAGCAGTAGAGAAGCAAGAAGGGGAACAGGAAATATTAGAAAATATTCTGAAGGTTAGGGACTACAGAGGTGGGATTGTGGAAAGAAAAGCCCTCAATATGAAGGCAAAAAACAAAGGTTTTAAAACTGGACCATACAGATTCAAACCCTTGTGCAGCAGTTCATGGACTACTTTCCTCTTCTTCTTCTTCCTCCTTCTTCTTTCTTTTCCCTCCTTCTTTCCTCCTCCTCCTCCTCCTCCTCTTCTTCCTCTTCCTCCTCTTCCTCCTCCTCCTCCTCCTCCTCCTCTTTCTCCTCCTCTTTCTCCTCCTCCTCCTCCTCCTCTTCCTCCTCCTCCTTTTCTTCCCCCTCCTCTTCTTTTGTTCAAGACCAGCACTCTACTGCTTGAGCCACAGTGCTACTTCTGGCTTTTTCTGTGTATGTGCTAGTGAGGAATCCAACCCAGGGCTTCATGCATGCTAGGCAAGCACTCTACCACTAAGCCACACTCCCAGTCCTACTTTCCTCTTCTGAGCCTGCTTTTACCTCAGTAAGTTGGAAGTGATCTCTCTACTTCATGGTATTGTTGAGAAGAACCAGTGTGATTCTTTGTTTAAAATTCCTGGCATAGAGCAAATGTCTCAAGACCAGAAACAGAGTGAGTCCTATAATATCAGTTCTTAAGAGAGTTGAAGCAGAGGCTAGGAATGTGGTTAGTGGTAGAGTACTTGCCTAGCATGCATGAAGCCCTGGGTTCAATTCCTCAGTACCACATAAATAGAAAAAGCTGGGAAGTGGCACTGTGGCTCAAGTGGTAGAGCGCTAACCTTGAGTTGAACAGCACAGAGACAGTGCCCAGGCCCAGAGTTCAAGCCCCATAACCGACAAAAAAATGAAAAAAAAAAAGAAAAAAAGCCGGAAGTGTTACTATGGCTCAAGTGGTAGAGAGCTAGCCTTGTACAAAAGAAGGTCAGTGATAGTGCCCAAGCCCTGAATTCAAGCCCCAGGACTGTGGGACAGGGCTGGGGGCGGGGGCGGGGGTTGCTGAGTGAGGAGACAAGTGTTGTTTTATTTGAATCTCAATTTCAGGCTAGAGTTTGCTGTATGACCTTATTAAATCCTTTATCCTCTTTGGGTCTCATTTCCTGACATCCCTGGAGGGCTGATCAAATTGGGAGAACCTAGATCCCTAGGGTATAGGATGAACCCTTTCAGAGCCTGGGCCTGCTCATCTGTTATACCTTCTTTCCCAGGATGCACTTCGAAATTCAGGTGGTGATGGGCTGGGGCAGATATCCTTGGAGTTCTATCAGAAGAAGAAGTCTCGCTGGCCTTTCTCAGATGAGTGCATCCCATGGGAAGTATGGACAGTCAAGGTGCATGTGGTGGCCCTGGCCACAGAGCAGGAGCGCCAGATCTGCAGGGAGAAGGTGGGTGAGAAGCTCTGTGAGAAGATCATCAACATTGTGGAGGTGATGAACCGGCATGAGTACCTGCCCAAGATGCCCACGCAGTCAGAAGTGGACAACGTGTTTGACACAGGCTTGAAGGATGTGCAGCCCTACCTGTACAAAATCTCCTTTCAGATCACCGACGCTCTGGGCACCTCAGTCACTACCACCATGCGCAGGCTTATCAAAGACACCCTTGCCTTGTAGCCCTTGCTGGAGCCTTGGGAGATCCTCAATGGCTCTCAGATGTTGGCTTCTGAAGATTGTACTGTCAGGCCCTTTGGGGCTCTGGAACTGACTCTGGGTCATTGATGAGACTTGGAAAGGGTAGCCCCTGGCTTCCTTGTTTTATGGTAGCCAGCCTCTGGTCATCCCTTTTACCTTTGCTGATGATCAGGTTCTGCCTGTAGTCTTTGGGGAAGGGGAAGGGGGGGGAATCCCTCTTCTTTTTGCATTGTACAGCAGAGCCCCTTAAGGCTGGTGAATAAAGTTGAGATGTGAGTTTGGGTTCAACTATCTCTCCTTTGGACTGTGTCCTGCTCTGAAGCATTTATACTTTCTGCCATTCCTGTGAAGAACACAGATATGTGTTGGCATTTATTCCAAGCTGAGACAAGGAGGTGGATAGGATTAAAGATAGAATTTGCAGCTTTGTTGGACATTCACATAAGTATGTGTTACAACTCAGATGTGATTGTGATTAATCCAAGAATGTCTTGGTCTTTATGAAACACACACAGGTCCTGACTTACACTAGAAAATCATTTTAATGTGAGGTAACTGGGAAGATACTGGCTAGCTTGCAGTTGTGGTGTCTGGTGACATGTCTAGGTTGGGCCTTCTCACTGTTATTAGGCACTGCTGTGGTAGTTTACACAAATTTTACACAAGCATACTCAGAATCTATTGTATGCTAGGCTTTATTGATTTGTTCAATATTTTGCAATGTTTTGCACTTTGAATTGACTAGTTGCATGTGCAGAGGGGTGTGAACGGTGGGGGGAGGTATTGTTCAATGTCCTGGAGCAGGTAAGTAGCCAGGATGGCCAGGAAGTGTTAGTGTGTTTTACCCTGGTCATGCCACCCTTGTCCATGGCTGTTTGCTGTCAGGTTTTGTGAGGTCCTCCTCATGGTTTCTGGGCATCCTGGAGGACTCCAGATGGCTGGCCTGTTATAGGGCAGGTTCCTCCTTCCTTTTTCCTTCTGAGGCATAGTTGATTGATAGATGTTTACCAGTGACTTTATTTTGAAAGGAGGATGGAAAGCTTGCTGCAGATTTTTTCTGGGGATCTAGGTGGAAGGTCTTGCTTCCATGTCAACTTTCCAAGCTCTTTTTTTTTTGCATCCGGACTCCATATTCCCACTCCCTGGCTGAGTTATATGGTACCCAGCTGGTTATGGGCTGCCCTTGGTGAAGAGCCTATTCCTTTTGGCATATGTGATTCCCCTGGGGTAGGGATAGGAATGCTGGCAGCTTAGCTCAGATCTGCTCTCTGTTATTGGTAAATAGGACTTTCCTTGGCCAGTGAGGCAGGAGAATAGGAGTTGGGGTAGGTCCTGAAATCTGGGTACCTTGTTCCATCTTCCATGTGCTGGAATCCAGGGGAAGCATGGGTCTGTTTGTCCCAGCGTAAGAGTGCATCACCCACATACTTTAGGCTGCTTGTTTGTGTCATCTTAGTGGGGGCAACTAGCAGTGTTGAACTTTGGTCCTGGGAAGATTTTTTTTTTTTTTTTTTTTTTTTTTGTGCTGGTCCTGGGGCTGTCCCTGAGCTTTTTTTTTTACTCATGCCTAGTACTGTTATCACTTGAGCCACAGCACCACTTCAGGCTTTTTTGGTGTGTAATTAGAGATGAGTCTCAAAAGAGTTTCTGCTCAGGTTGGCTTTGAACTGTGATCCTCAGATCTCAGCTTCCTGAGTAGCTAGGATTATAGGTGTGAGCCACCAGCATCAGGGTTGAAACTTTTTTTTTGGTCCTGAGTCCTGCCTAGTGGATCAGTATTCCCAGTCTGCAACTGGGATAGGCTTTGAGTAGTCCCGAAGGAGGTGTTAGCTCTTGGCCTTCTTTGCAAGGGAAGAGAGCCTTGGTGACATAGGATCTGAGGTCGCCAAGGTACATGTGTGCGCCTTGGGAATTAGGAGAAATGCACCAGGATTAGGAGCCCTGCCTGTCCAGCGAACCGGTTTACACGGGGAAGAGCAGTCCTCTAGGAGGCGAGGAGCTTGAGCTGGGAGTGAGGTTGCAGGGCTCCTGAGATCCGCCCCCTTGAATCCCAGCTATGCCTCGGTCCGCCCTCTGGCCCACCCACCAGCCTGAGCTCCCGCACATCTGGGTAGCAGCCTTGGGAACATGAACGGCTCTCAGGTGGGTGCAGTGGCCCAGGCTTCCTGGCTGAGCTGCTGCAACCAATCCGGGGAACCCCTGCAGCCTCCGGAGAGCCAGGGGCCTCGCGCGGTGCAGGCAGCGGTGCTGGGTGTGCTGTCTCTGCTCGTGCTCTGCGGGATCTTGTTCCTGGGCAGCAGCCTCCTCCTCCGTGCCCAAGGGCTCACGGCACTGCTGGCTCGCGAGTGGCGCCCATCCCGCGAGGCTGAGCCTGGAGGTGCCAGTGAAGGTGAAGAAGACTCCTAGGTGCCAGGCAGCGAGCGCTCCAGTCTGATCCGAGGCCTCCTCCTTGCGTCCCGAGCGCGCTGGGCAGGGGGCAACTGCTGATGCTGCCCAACAGAGGATCCTTCAAACTCTTGGGCTTCGTTCAGGTGAGAAGCCCTGGGCACACGCAGATGCGATAGTAAGTAAGGGGTGAGGGGGAGAAGGGGAGACATGATGGGTCCTTTACCTATACTAAGGGCACCTCTGGGTAGTCCAGGAGAGGGCGGGTTGCAGCTACCAAGGTTCCTCTTCCAGGTCTGCTGAAGCCAGCCTGTTCCGCCCCAACTTGAGTCCCTTTCCCCCTTTGTCCTTTTCCTAGGAGCAGATGGCCACTGTGAAAAGTGGGAGAGGGCACAGCAGACATATCAAAAAGGAGGGAGTCTGAAAGGACCACAGCATGCTCTGGAGACCTCCCAGCACCCAATCTTCTGCACCTGTTCAGCCTCTCCAGGCTCTAAGGCTCCCCACCTAGGTTGCCTGGGCCCTGTCCTCAAATAGGAACCACTACGCACTTTGGGTTTGAACTCTCCTTGATGTCTTTCCTATCCCGTCCCCCCACCCCCAAGAGCGAGATTCCTCACTGTAGCTCCTGCTGAGGTATCTGAGATGTCTGGGTTACCCCGAGAATCTCTTTCCCAGGTTCCTGTATCCCAGAGCCAGGAGCTTTGTGTGGTGTGAGACTGGAAAGGTTCAAGGCAGCTGGGGGGCTTCAAGAGCACATTCCACCAGGAAGTGGGGCTGAGGATTTCCAGCTGTGGGGGCTCTGTGTGGGTCTCCTGTCTCTTGTCTGTCCAAGGACAGGAACCATCTGGAGGGAAGGGCCTGGGTGGCCCAGAAGACAAGTAACTAGGCCAAGGCCATCTACAGAGTCCTGGGCTGGGTGGGGGAGGGGCAGACCTGCACTGTCCCTCTCCTTGTTCAGCCTTGTATGTAAGTTTTCTGTGGGTAGTGGTATTATTTGTTGGGAGTGACTGGCTATGTTTGCCTCTCTTTTTCAATCCCTCCCCCTGCTTGCCCAGGACAGGAACAGGGTCCCAGTTCACCTGTGAGGAGAGTCTGTTGGATGGCTGTGAAGAGAGGCTGAGAAGGGACAATCATCAAGGGTGTGGGCAGGTGCAGCTAAGGTAGCTGTGAAGCTGACATTGTGTGATCCTGGCAGAGCAGTGCAAGGATTGACACTTATTAGATGGGGCTTCTGGGCTACACAAGCCCTATGACTTGCCCACTTCTCAGAGATGCCATCTCCAACTCTTGTGTGTGTTTGAATGTTCCTGGCAGCAGGGCATCTGGCTGTACCCAAAAGTCATTTCCCACCTCACTTGGTTGGGCCTGGAGAAGCAAAGAACTCCCTCTGCATTGTTTCCCAGTCCTTTCAGCTTTCTGCTTGACTCATGTGCTATCTTCTCCCCTTTCCACCTTGTGTTCTCCTCATCTTTCCCCAGTGAGATAGAGGGTCTCCAGACCTCTGAGAATCCTTCCCTTTTACAAATGGGAAGGCCCAGAACTTCTGAAGACAGCTCTGAAACTCAGAAGCAAGTGACCTGATCAAGTGAATGGCAGCGCTGGAACTGGACTTTGGGCCTCCAGGGCTTGGACTTAATGGTGGTGTCCTTCCTGCTCTGTCCCTCTTCTCTTCCCCTGATCTCTCCCACCACTCTTTGAATTGCTGATGTAAAATGCCTCTCTTCCAAAGAAGGAGCCTTCATGCGGGCATATGTACACACACACACACACACACACACACACACACACACACACACACACACACACACACACACACACACACACACACACACACGGCATGTAGTTTATCAGGGCACAAGCCCAAGTCTCTGTGTCACTGTTTGTCCTGTCTCTGATCTCCCAGGTCCCCTGCTGATAACTTTCCTGCTGCTAAAACAGTTTTCCTGATGCCAGCCATTTCCTAGCCAGCTAGGCTCAGCTTTCCTGGCCTAAGCCTGATGAATGGGTAAGGGTTTAGAGATTAGTTAGAATAAACATCGACAAGAAAGATCCAGGTGGTGAACTGGAAGGGCTGGCCTTTTGTTTAAGTTCCTGTGGTATTAGGGATGATTGGAGGACAGGCTGTCCACAGCAGCATCATGTCTGCTCGCACCCGTGACAGGTTGGAGACAGATAGGGGTCCGATGTCCTCAGCTCAGTGTTTGGTGGAGGAGTGGGACTTGCTGAGGACTGAAGTGTTCCCAGGGGAAGATACTGAATAGTTTGTTACAGAACTGTGGCCCTGATCAAGGCTGTTGGACTGAATGAGGTTGAAAGGGCTTAGAAAATTTGGAAGTGGATGATATCACCCCACCTCGGGCTCAGGCTGGGAATGAGGTGGGAGTAAGGTACAAGTCTGAAAGTCTCAAGAAAAACCAGGCATCTGAGCTCCCAGACAGCGGCACTAGTCAGTGCTATACATGGGACGGGACTGGGGCCACATGTGGGCTGAGATCTTAACTTTCCTTCAGCCTATTATTCATCCTGGGCTAGAACAGGCTACAGAGTTTAGCCCATCTTCTTGGCCTCCAACGGTACAACTTCCCTCCAGCCACAGTGGGAGGGGCCATCTCTTACAGATTCCTGTGCCACATGTGAACTGCATCCTGGAGGGCTCTCAGCAGCTTCTGCCCTGGTGCTTCAGGTGATGACTGCGAGACATCTGGACTCTGATGATTCCTCGTTCTGGGATCCTGGCACCCACTACTTCCTCTGAGCTGCTCCCCTCCGCCTTCTGAAGGACTCCTAGTGTGAGCCTGGGAAGTCCATGCTAGGTGACTGCTGTGTACCCTGTGCTCAGAAGTGGCCTCACCTACTAACTGATGTAGTAGTCACTGACTTTACACCCACAGGCCTTTGAGTGCAGTCCTGTTCTGCCTGGGCAGGGCACCAGTGATCTGACAGCCCTGTGATCTGTCCCTACTTGAGGGCTTTTGGTACCCCCAGAAACCCAACATTGGAAAATCACTTTCTGTGACTTGCTATTAAATATACCATAAATAAATACTTTGGATGCAGTCTGCTTCTAGCTCTTGACTAGGGATATTTGTGATTCGTTCCCTCACTCTCTTCCAGTTGACCTGCTTCTGGTATATGCTAAAATAGCAACTCCAGCCAAGGCTTCTCCCCCTTTGTCCTCAGTGTGGTCATTCTCCTTCCTGCCTCAGCCCTTCAGATCAAAGAATTTTCCCTCCCTCTCTCCCCCTCTCTTTCTCTCTCTCTCCTTCCCTCATTCTTTCTTCCCTCCCTCCCTCTCCCACTCTCTCTCTTTCTCTCTTTCTTCCAGTCCTGGGGCTTGAACTCAGGGCCTGGGTACTGTGCCTGAGCTGCTTTTCGCTCAAAGCTAGCACTCTACCACTCTAGCCACAGTACCACTTCTGGCTTTTTCTGTATATATGGCACTGAGGAATGGACCCCAGGGCTTCATGCATGCTAGGCAAGCACTCAACCACTAAGCCACATTCCCAGCCTCCCAAGACTTTCTCCCCTCCCCCCCTCCCCCAAGACTTTCTATAGTTGAGATGTTAGATGTAGATAGTGACTCTCATGTCAACACTCTGCTGTCCCCTTGTGGCCAGTATATGCAAGCGCTCCACTTCATTCAACCAGTAGTGACTGGGTGTCTTGTCAGAGTCCAGCCTGAGCAGAGTGCTAGGGGGTGGATTTTGTGTACTGAGTACCAGGTTGAAAATTTTCCTGAACCCCAGTATCTTCATCCATGAAATAGAAATGACAATTGGATTGTGAGGATCCAATAGATAATGTGCTTCTCTATCCAATAAAGGCTTTTTGCAGAATTATCATTTGGCATTGATTTTCCTGTCTGACCATTCCCAGAGGGGAGGGTGGCAGGGACAGCCTGGACTGGAGCTGTTTTTTCCCCCTGGTCGTGGGGCTTGAACTCTGGGCCTGGGCGCTGTCCCTCAGCTCTTTAGCTCAAGGCTAGCACTCTACTACTTGGGCCACAGTGCCATTTCTGTTTTTTTCTGCCTATGTGATACTGGGCAATTGAACCCAGGGCCTCATGCATGAAAGGCAAGCACTCTACCACCTTCCCAGCCCCTGGAGCTGCTGTTTATCTAAGATGGCTGGTGACTGGAAGCTTTGAGTGAAAAAGTAGTATAGATCTAAGCTCTGGGTCTTTGGGAGCATGGGATCCATTTGAGAGTGGGAGAAGCTGGAAGTAAAAAGGAAGCAAGGAGGCAATTGGAAAAAAAAAACACCAAAATGGTAGTCACCAGAGCTTGGGATACAGGCCTTGGTTGTTAGCTGCATGTGAGGAATGAGGATGAGGGAGAGGCAGACAGGACCACATTTTGGCTCCTGGCCTAGACAAATGAGGGGGTGGTGATGCCCCTCAGTGAGAGAATGAGTTATCCTTGAAGACTTTTTTTGGTCAGTTGTGGGGCTTGAACTCTGGGCCTGGGTACTATCCCTGAGCTCTTCAGAGCACTCAAGGCGAGTCTCTACCATTTGAGCCACAGTGCCACTTCCTTTAGGACTTCTTTAGTCTGAATTTACCACCTACATGGAGGGAAATTATTGGCTCATGTAAGTGACAACTATCTAGGAATAATTCTGACTTCTGGCCTTTCATGATTCAGGGTCCAAGCCATGAGAACAGGCTATTTCTCCTTCCTTAGCCTGGTTCTGCTTGCCTGTCTGAGCTCCAGGCAATATAACCTGGCAATCAAGAGAAAGGATTCTGGAACCACACTGCCTGGATTTAAATTCTGTGTACTATGTGGCCTGAGTAGGTGCCTCACTTTTCTGTGCCTTGATTCCTTCATTTTCAGACTGGAGCAGTAAGATGTAGCATATGCCATTTTTGGTTAGGATGAAAGGAAAGTCAAACATGTACAAGGGAGAGTGCTTGTTGATTTATTGGGTCTCAACATGTGGTAGGATGTTGGCTTTATGGCTCTCAGCTTCCATATCAGGAAAGAGGAGAGTCATCCCCAGCTTACTATGGTCAAGCC